GAGGACACATGCCAAGAGATTTATAATGGAACGCTCAGCTCACTGACGCCCTTGAAGCAAAAACAGGAGTAAGACAAGCCTGCCAACTACTATCATCAACGATGTTCTTCGTAATTGTGGTCGACTGAACTGGACTGGATCATGCAACAAACTGTGAGGAGCGAGAAGATGGGCATACACTAGCCTGACCGATGAAAACACCCTGCAAGAAGATTTGCATTTCGCCAACGATGATGATGCTGATGATGATGATGATTTATGTCCAATGTCTTGTCGCACAAACTCGAAAATCTACAGGCAAAAGCCAGCAAGTTGACAGAAGCGACGGGGCAGCGAAGGAAGACGGGACTTCAAGGGAAGGCAGAGAAGACGGAGGTGATGAAGATACACAACCAACAACAACAACAACAACAACAACAAGAAGCACCAATCACCATGAACGGGAGAAATCTAAAGGAAGTAGTCTCTCTCACTCTCTCTCACCTACCTGACTGGCTGGACAGCATTGTTCCAACTACAGGCGGTGAAGACACAGATGAGGATGTCAAAGCCGAAATTCGAGAGACAGCAAGACACGTCTTCCTGCATTTGTCTGAAATCGGTGTGGAGATCTACTGACTGCACTCAGCAAGAAGAACAACATCCGTATTTCTAACACCAACGTCAAGTGAGTCAATGCTTCTATGTGATGGTTCAGAAACATGGCGCATCACGAAAAGCATTTCCAACAAACTACAAACATACATCATCAACAGCTGCCACCTACACATACTCGATACTGACACTGGAGATCAGATGGCCAGAATAATAATAATAATGAGCAACAAGGGACTCCGGTTGGTTGGCTGTCTGGCTGACAACGAACCAACGAAGCAATAACCTATCACCCAACAACTGTGCAGTAGAAGAAAGTGGAGATGGATTTGATTGGGCATACACTGAGAAGACGGATTGGGGACATCACGCACCATATCAGGCCATGCACTCGAGTGGAGTGGAAATGGGTGGACAAGGAGTTGGTCGTTGGAGGCGAGGATGACATGGAGGAGATGATGTGAAGAAGAAAAGTGAAGCTTGTGTCCATTTGTGGATAGAGGTTTTGAAGGCTGCAGAGAAGAGAGTGGAATGTAGACGTGCTACTGAGACAGTATGTTCTATTGGGAACCCAAGTGAAAAAATCAATAATACTGTTAACCAAATTTTTCACCCTGGAAAATGCATTACACTTGACATAAATGAGATCATTCCATCACAAACCACTTATCGATGCAGATGGCATAAAGAATGCAGAGTTTCACTTCAAAGAATAGTTTTTTCAGTCAACAGATTTACCTGCTAGTCTTTCACGAATTCATCATGATCTAATGACTTAGTTATGCCTGCAATCTCATAGTGGAAAAGTAAAATATTTATCACTTCAACCTAACGAATAAGTGAACTGATTTCAATGCATTGATATAGCATATCTGCATCATGGTTCAGTTTCATTGGCTCTGACTGAAAATATACGTATTTAACAGTAACAGAAATATTATTTAAAGCAATTCGCCTAGACACTGAAGAGGGTTTGTTAGAAAGCATGTAGAATGACTGAATGGGAATCTAAGTCTAGTTGCAGAATGTTCCTAAATGAATGGTTTCTTGTCTGCTGTCAGACGATGGTCCTCCGTGAATGGTCCTTTGCTCAATTATTCAAAATGTCAGTCCATAAACTTCACTTTCAGATGTGAATATAACCTATGTAAACTACCTAGTTATCATGATTCCTGTTCCATTTATAGTTATGCATTAGGGAATGTAACAAGTGTGATTCATTTCAGTGTCTTTTCCTCGAACTTTTCCTGGTCCATCCATATCTTTGTAATTTCCAAAAGAATTTTCCACCTAAGTTTCAATATCAGGAAGCTGATAGTATCTGATATAACTCAGCCTCCCCTGTTATTTTTAGAAACTCCTTCATCTTACCTGTTCTCCTCTATTGTTTCTCTTTATTTTGTACCTGGGTCACTGAAAAAAGAACTTGCTGTATTGCGTAGAACTTTGAAGATTGTCAGTGGTGTACCTATAAACCTTTTAATTAAAACAGTCATGGACAAAAATATTAACTTATGTAAATATCTGGCACAAATTTTTTAATCAGATGATGAACATCCTCTTCACTCAAACCTCTCCACGTGTAGGTCATCAGGAAATACTAGGAGCAAGTACATAAGATTTTATGCACGTACTAAAAAATATAAAATATCTACACTACCGTATTTAGGTCATCTCCTGTGTGATAAAGAAAGTATTAGAAATGAACTAACTAATCAACTTGTTTTGAAAGCAAACTAAATGATGATTACATAGGATGTTGTTATTCATATATTATGAATTTAATTGCTAATGTGATTGTCTACCTTAGTTAACTGTACATTTTCGAGAAAGTTGTAAATAGAGTAAATATTTCTTATCTTATCTACGTAATTTATACTTGTTTCATTTTACTATGCATACATATACATTGTTTCTGTCCAACTGATGCATAATGACATACTGAAAATTTTGTAGATTATTCCTTTAATACCTTTTAGAGTAAAACCATTATTATTTTTATTAAGTAACAACTATATTGGTAGTTATTGGCTAAATCGTATTCAGCTTGACTGTTAATTTATTATAAACTTCACAATTCTTAGGAAATATTTACAAAGTAAACGTCACCTAAAAAAAATGTTACAAGTTCATGATATTACTATATTATTTCATGCTATGATATACCAAGTACGTTTATGTGAGTATTTGTTTTGGTATTTCTTGTTACATACAATTATGAATGAGTCTGAATGATAAGATTTGAGTAAATGAACTTAATATTACTTTGAAACGTAGTGTCTATCCACTGTACAAATATAAGTAAATATAGCGTAGGTTCCTGTTACTTTGTAGATAAATTCACACATCCACTGAAGTATAACATTTTTTTTCTTCTAGAAATTACAAAAATCAAATCAAGTGAAAAAATGGCAACTTAATGAAATAAATAATCGAAAACTACATATTGTCAATATTAAAGCTTTATTTCTGTATCTAACATGATTTAGGTAGTATTTATATTATATAGTCAAATATTTGATATAATGAGCTACCTTGTATCAGATTATTTCATATGCACAGAGTGCAAAACAGTTGTTAGTGCCAACTAAATATGCAACTTCCAATGAACGATATCTTCTTACTTATGATGATAAGTAATATACTACTTTAGTGATTAAAACTTGTTAGCCATACGTAACAATGCTTAAAACAAGAATAAACAAGTTTGCAGAATTTCATAGAACCAATTTAATTTCTTTGCATTTTCTTTTGCTATATTCAAATATGTAGTAAAATTGCTTGGAGTAAAACAAAATGCTTTGATAGAATTAGATTATTATTTATTTTATTTGTCCCTTGGGTTCCTAGTGAAACATAAGGCTTCACTAGCACTTCTCCATTCCCCTGTTCTCTGCAGTCTTTTGAACTTCACTCCACGGCTGCCCAGAAGCTCTCATTTCTTCCTCACACGATCTCCTCCTTGTCAACCTCAGCTAGGACGCACAACTCATCGTTTCCTGTTTAGGTTCCACTCAAGGACCTATCACGTGATGTCCCCAAACGGTCTTCTCAGTGCATGCCCAATCCATCTCCACTTCCTTCCAGTGCATATTTGTTCAGCGATAGCTTCTTGCTTTGTTGGTTCGTTGCCAACAAGCCAGAGTTCCTTGTTGCTTATTCTTTCTGGGCATCTGAGCTTTAGTAACGAGTGTAGGCAGTTGTTGACGAATGTCCGTAGTTTGTTGGAAATGCCTTTTATAACGCACCAAGTCTCTGAACTAACTGAACTACAAGGTTCGACTACTGACCAGATTTTTATTTCACTTCAATCAACTGGGTCTTCGCTTCGTAACGCGCTACTACCACTCGATCATATTCACATTAGTGCTTAGTCACGAATTCTAACTGTATTTCAAATGTAAGTGAATTAGAGAGGAGGAGAGCATTTTATTAATGATTATTTTGACTAATATAAAATGTTTTGCAAACTGTTTAAATAGAAATTCTAGAATACTGTTGACAAAAAACGAAATAATATAATAAACGAATGAATACAAAGATGGCAACAATGAGAAAGGAAGATGATAAATAAATCCATTTACAATATATAAACATTTATTGACCTGATTTCAAGCAAAATTTAGTTTTCCCTTCAAGTGACTGACAAAAAAAGTGAATACAATATAACAACTTTGATATAGCCCATGCAGCTAGAAATCATTTACAGATTACTTATTTTATCTCAACTTCACAAAAAATATATATCAATTAAAGTAATGAAAGCTTCTTATAATATTTTTACAGCTAATAAGCTTTCTGGAAACAATTCGGTCGTGATTCTGAAGGATGACTACCAGGGAAATCTAAGATGAGCGTTTCGTCTTACACTGACTGAACTCATCAGTTAGATCTATCTACCTCCAAGTGATAGATATTATTCTCGGGAAATCATTTGCGAAAAGTAGTCGATCGATTATATCAAATCAAGGATGGGAAATCACAAACTCCAACATAAAATGTTGCTGTCCAATGTCTATATAATGTGTATATACCAATCCTTATCAAATGTCACTCATCTATGCCTTAAAACTACAACGAAAAGTCGTTAAAGACTGATTTGAAAAAAATATGTAAAAGTTAAGTCGTCAGTGAATAAAACAAAATATTTGTAGTGTTGTATCGATAAAATGTCTTAAATTATTACTATATCTCTAACATAGGAAGTAACAGCAATTTCGAATATATTTCAATTACCTCTATCACTATTTAATTGCTCTTTTCATCATACATTTAAAAATTTCCCTAATCATTTGTTGTTCTACTTTGATACTACAAAAGGGATAATTATTAACAACAACAATAATAATAATAACTGAACTTTTTGTATCATCTTAATATTTCGTGTTTCTTTTTCTTTTTAATAGGCTACTTCTATAATGGACAAAACACCTGTATCACATAGTCAAATGGTATGTATAACAAATTCAATACGAGATATTCATCTTTTTCTAAATAACACCATACTTAACAAAATCCTCATTTTCACACTACTTTATTATCTCATTGTATATCAACTAACATTTATGACATTTAATGTATGCACATTACAAAATTTTAAACAAAATTCACTTCAATATCTTTTTCCTGTACATTGGACTAAACATTAACCAATTAATACATTCATAGTTAACAATAATGTGAGTATATTGTTATTTATGCATTTTGTTAAGATCACAGTAAATCAGTAGCTTTCCAACAATCGTTTATTTAATCACTGAACTCCATTCAAAATGTTAGCTAACCACACTACATCCTAATAATCTCTGAATACCTCTTTCTGGTTATACAGTTATCCTTGATACATTTCATCTTCAAACTGGAAATATAATTTCGAGGTAGCATTCATCACAGACTGACATCATTTGGAGAACTATTAAAAACCTGGGAGGGCTGGATAGCTGTTTGACACTAGAATAAGACTCGTCAGCGGAATGAAGCCACCACCAGGTTAGGGCTCGAACTCAGGGCCTTCGGGTTTAAATTCCTATTCACCTCCAAATACATCACTTATTAGTGCTGATTACTGACATACATCTAAGTGGATATCCCCAAGTTCTAATAAGAAGCCATGATCTGTGGTGTCAACCAGGCAGGATGGAAGCACATGTCAAATGAAGACCTTGGATGGTAGTCGCGCTATGTCGTTAATTGACAGAAGTTGGAAACTGTGGACAATTGAACTCCGACCCAGTGGCTGAGTGGTTAAAACCTTCACCATGGGACCCGAAGGACATAAGTTTCATCCCTAGCAAATTGTGGGTGTGTATTGTTGTGAAGTCCCACATAAGGACGAAACAGCTGTTCAGTGCTCCCAGAAATTCAATCGTTCTCCAAATGACGTCAATCTGTGATAAATACTACCACAAAATTAAAATCCCCATCTACCTCAAAAAAGTAATTTGATTCAAGTAAATGTTATGTGGTAACACATACTAACATACTAACTGCAAAAATGTACGACAATGAATTTGATGTCATGAGGGAGTTATCATATAGTAACTCAGTTGGTAAGGCAAAGGTTAGGTAACCCAATGGTTGTTGGTTCGAATCCTACCGTGGTCAAAATTTTCATTTAATCTTTAATCATAAACCAGTATGTCACATAAGGTTCTTTTGTTCCGCTATTCAGCATCAATATAGTTTCAAGAAATAGAAAAGATCGATCATAATCACACAAGTGACGGAAAATAACATGAATTCACTTTCACAAACTCCGCCTTATTCGTGACTTACGAACAACCGAAGTGAGTTAAATGATGGATAAGTCTTCCATCTCACATTCATGTAACAATGTGAAGAATGACAGAAAGGTTTCCATGATGACTGGCACAATTTTCTGAAACGTCTCCATCTAACTCGTGTGCATAAGGCTGAAACTTTATGAAACTTTACCTGTCTGATAGCTCCAGAATCAATCTTCTATCCGTGTAGCTGCGCAAAATAAGCAGAATATTTATGGATACGAATAACTTCATCTGGCTCTTTTCAAAAAATACTTTGTAAAGTCTGTGATTCAAAAATAAGACTGTATAGGAAGAGTTCAATGTTCTTTGGTACATAATCCACCGAGTCCTACAGCTTTGCATAAACCTAAAAAAGCATCGTCATAATCTTTTTAAAACTTTTATTGTAAGTGTTGAAATAAAAAAGGTTTTCTATAAATCCGTCATCACTTTGAGTAAAATAACAATTCTATGTTAAATTTTGAGGGGGTTGTGGAGATTTGGAAATATTTCAAGTTGTTATTCATCGATTCTATGTTACTTAACTGTTATTTCAATGGTTGAGGACTCTTGGTGACATGGCTGGAAACCGATCACAATGGTGCAGATATATTCACTCATTAACATCTTCAAAAGCTTGAATATTTGCACTAACCGTTATCTACGAATTGTTTATTCTCTCACACTACTTTGTCTTAAATGATATCTCTCATTTTCTATCCACTTTTTCTTTGTGTACAACTGTGAATTGTTTCAACGTGAACCAATGCACCTTTGTATGAGTTTTTACGTTGGATTTTTGTGTTTGTCTGTCTTTCATGATATTAATAAGAAACTCCTTAACGTCTCTTATTATTTAACATGAACTCAGTAAATGGGCATCAAGAAATGTATACTAAGACATTTAACTATTAACTGTTTCTTCAAATGATAAACCCGCCACATCAAAATATTTTATTGCTTTTCACCGACAGAATAATCAACATAGCTACTGGCATTAATGTGTAACGGTTTAAGTTGCCGCACCATATATTAGCACATCAAGCGAAAACGCACCGACATGAAAAATAGAGAAATCAGGAGCAAAGCAGTTAAAAGTGGAAGACATTCATCGAAAGAGAGCAAAAAATAATGAAACAATACTGAAATTGAGTTTTAAGACTAAGACAGATAATACGTAGATACATCGGCTCTACTGACATCGATTCTGAGCCATATCATGTAGAGTATCCAACCACTGGTTAGTGTCGTCATGCCTACCCCAACCTGGAAGTCTGTATTTTCCTACATGGCTCAGGCAAATAGTTAAGGACTTCAGGGACGGATGCCATGTTTTAGTCTCGCGATCTCCTACTCTTCTTCAAGCCTGAACTTATTTAAACTGACCTTGTGTGACGAGGTGGACAGTAATTAGGCATGTGTAACGCATGCCACAAATGCATCAGTCAGTGAAGGTTTACAGACTCATCGATTAACTTTCCCCTTCTCCCTGAAACACTACACCTGACTTTTGCTTTACTAATGTGGTGACACACAATGACAAGACGCATGCTACAAAGGCAACAGTGGTCAAATACATCGAGACACTATATGTCTACCTCTAGTGGTTATGTTTCCCAGCCATACAATAGAACTCAGAGGGCGGTAGTGCAGTACACTCGATCCTTAATAGACAATCAGATATCACGGCAGCATCACATATGGCGTATGTTAGCGAAAGTCAATCGAACCTTTTGCATTTGTGCTTCACCAACCCAACAGAGCTGATCCGACTTCCCAGCCAAGTTAAGCAGTCAACGTGCTCAACTGCCACTCCCTATTGTTAGACAGGGCACCACTAAAGACCAGTCCTGAAACTAAAAATGTGCATTTGAGTAGCGAAAAAAGCATCCAAAACATTATGAAATAGCCACTTAAAGTATCCACATGGCTCTGCATCTTGTCAGCATCTTCTCCCAACAGGAATATGTCACCAGCTTACTCTAGATCCATTAAGGATTCACCAATCATTAGATAATTATGAAGCCAGAAGAGAATAGGAAGACCTCCATATGTACGTCTATGATATAGTTGAATAAGTATGGAGAGAATGAACCTTTTTGGTGGATACCATTCAAGGTACACAACTTGTGTAAAAATTCATCATTAATTGTAACACGCCCAGGGGTGTTCCAGTACACAACTTTCAACAGAATGATGTACTTACTTGGTATGCCTTTTCAGATGTAGACACTACACAAAGACTTCTCGATCGACGGGGTTGAGTGCACACTCACATCGAGAAGTGCAGTCAGTGTCGGACATCAGTAGGGGTGTTTAGGTTATAAAATCTAGCGACGAGTGAATATCTGGTTAATAAACCCACGACTATTTCCGTAACCTATCTAGTTTCTCGGGTTTGTTGTTCTTAAGGTCGGATCACATGTTTGATAATCATAAAAGTCAGAATCGTAGATAATGTGTCTGTCAGGCTGGTTGTTCTGCAGTTATTACAAGAGGATTCCTACAGTTTCTTGAAGATTGGGATAACCAGTGACCAAAAAAACAGCTAACATTTCGGTTAACCTGACCAATAATCTGCGGCCATCATCCATAAGTATCTAGTCGGAAACCAATCTGTCTGGCCCTACTACCCCTCTCTGTTTAAGATTACTCACAGCTTCCTCAATGTCTACAAATGTTAGTGAACATATTACAATGTTCCAGCTGAGATCTGACCCAATAGTGGGCAATAGAATGGTAGCTGGAGGCTAGCCGAACTGTTCTCCGAAGTGGTACATCCATCATCCCAGTCGTCTCTTCGATGAGTGAATCTCAGACTCATCCCCCTTCTCTTCAGTCCAACCAGCAACTGACCTCTTCTCCCCAGTTTCATGCATCAGTCTGAATAGCTATCTGCTGTTATTTATCACTGCTGCCTCTCTAGCCTACAATGACCAACACTGTTCGCAATCATTGTGCAAACCTCTTGTCATCCTACATTTGAACTGCTGATTATTATTCCCAAAGCCTAAAGCGTGCACTTGCACGCGCCTATTAATTCAAAAAAGATGCTGCTGAGATCTACTGACCACTTTTGACCTACTAATGAGAGTCATATTCTGTTTCCAACGCTTTTATTATAGCAGACTCATGAGACTATGCTAGGCTTCTTCTGGTTGAGTGATGTTGTTCTGTTTTTATTACTGTCTAGACGAAATCTCGCTCGAAGTACCCGTAGTATTATCAACAAACACTCGCCACGGTCTTGCAGCCGCAGTTTTCTCGCGTCCCTTTGGGCACAAAAACACTTACGCTAATCAACACGTGGTCACTGTTATTACCGTACTCCAAAAGCACCGGACACTTGTCTTGGACCCTTTCCAGAGGCAACTGTAAGAAATGTCGTCTGTCTCAGTCTACCACTGATCTGAGGTCAGTAAACAACACGTAAAACAACGTCACGCTTTGTAGGAATTTCATGCTGGCCAGAAAGAGATGGTTACTTCAGCGCTGTTGTGGCAGACAGTAGCCGTTGTCTAATAGTTCGATTAGGATTCCACAAGTGTCCATAAAGCGCCTTTCTGCGTGATTGGCTCACCATGCATTTGTGCATGCGGAGCCACCACCTACCTCAACGTGCCATACTAGGGGAAGTTGTATCAGCTTGGAAAAGGGTTCAGCGTAACCAGACCAGGAACTGACATCAGTCGACGATGTCTCCCGCTGTTGACCTGACCCGCGTTCGGAGGTGCTAACTACCTGGTTCGGGTTTCCAAGACCAAAGGGATCAACGGTCAAGGACTCTTGGTGACATGGCTGGAAACCGATCACAATGGTGCAGATATATTCACTCATTAACATCTTCAAAAGCTTGAATATTTGCACTAACCGTTATCTTCGAATTGTTTATTCTCTCACACTACTTTGTCTTAAATGATATCTCTCATTTTCTATCCACTTTTTCTTTGTGTACAACTGTGAATTGTTTCAACGTGAACCAATGCACTTTTGTATGAGGTTCTACTTTAATTTTCTTAGTTATTCGTTAAGAGGCCAGACCGTTTTTGGCAGAACTTTTTCTACATTTATTTCAAACACTAGTCGGTTGAAGCGTAAACGGAGATTGCAAAGAAATAACCGGGAAATATTCACTGTTTTTTTAGTTGTTAACCAAATAGCACATAAATGAGTGTCAAGTGGGATTCAAAAGACTAGCCCAGTTTCCATCTAAGTGTACCATGCTATACCTACATTTGAAAGACCGCGAAAATTAGGCATTGAATCTCCCGAAATTGGAGGGTTTGCTTTTCCTGATTCACCGTGTTGATTGGATGAGTTTAAGTGAATAATCGCATTTCAATCTTGTATGGTTGTCTCATAAACGCAACACTAATTCATAACCCGAGAAGCTAAGGTTTTGGCTAGCAAAGCTGATTAACTGAAGCCTGCGGACACTGAATGATACAATGTGTAGTCTGGTGTGTGGTTTTATAAGATCAGTGATGTTGTTCCGTGAACTCAGATCGTCATCGAAAGCTTTAGAGTCAGATGAAATCAAAGATGATGTAGGATTACAGTTTGGGAGAAATAAAAGAAGGATTACCTGTTAAAGACGTGGAAGATGGATTGGGATCTGACAGAACTTGAGTGCTGACATAGTTATAAGAGATGTTGACACTTTCCGGCTTCCCAATTTATTAAAAGTTATTTGTCTATATCATACATGTAGGAGAAAAGTTTGTACATAACCATGCAAGCCAAAAGACATCTGCTTGAGACTGGTTACACACAGCCCTTTTCCGGGTTTAAGGCGTTTACTCTGTTGTATATTAGTGATGTGTAGTGGCTAGCAGTAGAATCCAGGATGCGCATTTCGTCCTATTTCGGAGTCGTCAATGACGAGATTATACAAGCTACGAAAATAAAAATTTTCTTATATTACAAGAAGTGGCTATCGTGACTCAGTGGTATAGGGGATAAGGTTGCGGAATTTGAAGCTGTTGTTCCCGAGTTAGAGTCCTATTGGGAATAAAATCGTTCTCCGGGAGGCAGGTAGGTCAAGGTGATGAGTCCAGAATAGGACAAAGCGCGCTTTCTGGATTCCACTACCAGCCACCATCCAGAAATCATATAAAATTCAGACACAAAATGTCGTAGCATCCGACCAGTTTGATCCAAACAACGACGGGATAATAGAAGCAACAAAATTAATCTGTTAGTTTTGAATCTGATTATGATTCCAAGTTACCGGCTCCAGCATGCTGTCAGGTAGTATGACGTATGCTATTTTTAGGTCAAATTTCACCCTCAAATCCACACTATAGTGTTTGAATTGACAGTAAACTCACAATAATAGGAGCCAATAACCATGTTGCACTGAATATTCTCTCTAACGATTTTCAGACTTTTTTCTCTTACAAATATTTATATGGATTTGGAACAATATGCTGTTTTACTAGCTTCTCAGTTATCAACTCACTTTTGTTGATTAACAAAATAAGACAACTGGACTAATTTTGTGTTGAGTCCTTAGATTCGCAATCATCATTTATTTTTAAAAAATAGTAGGTCAGTTCCTTCTTTTGCCGGTGGTTTTGTTTCAAAACGCATGATGTGTATTTTCGAACTTAAACTTAGTGTTGCCCATTTATTCAAAAAAAACGAAATCTTGACGCCACACATCCACGGTTCAAAAGATCTGTACTTTATTTTACAGTTACTTCACGCCACTTATCCATTTGTTTTAACACAGGTCACGTAAACGTTTTTCTTTTGCATGATACGAATAAAATTGCCCCAGTTCAGCTTAGGTAATTTCATTGGAAATATGAAGTGATTATACTTCTTCACAAACTGTAAATATACATCTGAGGCTGACAGAAATTCGTTTGGAATGTCACTTTTACAACCTTACATAAATTCAAATAAGCTGCATACAACCAACCATATAACGTCAACTATGGAAGTAGAGTTCTCAAAATAGATGTCTTCCGATTGAAATATGCTCAAACCCGTGACAACTGAATGGTAAAACCATCGTAGAAACTCATACAAAGGTGCATTGGTTCACGTTGAAACAATTCACAGTTGTACACAAAGAAAAAGTGGATAGAAAATGAGAGATATCATTTAAGACAAAGTAGTGTGAGAGAATAAACAATTCGAAGATAACGGTTAGTGCAAATATTCAAGCTTTTGAAGATGTTAATGAGTGAATATATCTGCACCATTGTGATCGGTTTCCAGCCATGTCACCAAGAGTCCTTGACCGTTGATCCCTTTGGTCTTGGAAACCCGAACCAGGTAGTTAGCACCTCCGAACGCGGGTCAGGTCAACAGCGGGAGACATCGTCGACTGATGTCAGTTCCTGGTCTGGTTACGCTGAACCCTTTTCCAAGCTGATACAACTTCCCCTAGTATGGCACGTTGAGGTAGGTGGCCGACCTGCCTGTAAATGGGGTGTCCAAGTCATTTCAGTCGAATAAAGTTTAGGTATCTTCCTAGCCTTTTTTCGTTTGATCCTTTAATCTGATAAGAACTAGTGTTGTCCCGATTATCCCATTAACATAAGTGACCTTTTTCGATAATATTTATCTACCATCAGTGAATGACATATCATCTTGTTTGTTTCAACCTTCTTTATACATAGCTAAAACTCATTTACTCCACTGATGTCATAAGAAAGATGATTATTGCATTAGGCTGCTAGACTTAAAACTTCTGATGAAAAATTTCGTACATAAAAGACTTAGCGAAAAATATATTGATTGATGAGTGTTCCTCGACAGCACTCCATTGCGCAAATAACAGAAAACACTATCTTCAAACAAGGTTCAGCAAACTACAACTATATTTAATCACACATTTCCATTGCGACGTAAAATCCCAGAAATAAAAAAACCCTTAACAGACTCATCGAACAGCTATATGACATATGATGAGGTTAAATGCCAAGTGATTCATAATGAAACTCTCAGCTCACTGACGCCTTCGAAGCAAAGACAGAAGTAAGACAAGCCTGCCAACTACTATCATCAACGATGATCTCCGTAATTGTGGTCGACTGAACTGGACTGGATCATGCAACAAACTGTGAGGAGCGAGAAGATGGGCATACACTAGCCTGACCGATGAAAACACCCTGCAAGAAGATTTGCATTTCGCCAACGATGATGATGCTGCTGCTGCTGATGATGATGATGATGATTTATGTCCAATGTCTTGTCGCACAAACTCGAAAATCTACAGGCAAAAGCCAGCAAGTTGACAGAAGCGACGGGGCAGCGAAGGAAGACGGGACTTCAAGGGAAGGCAGAGAAGACGGAGGTGATGAAGATACACAACCAACAACAACAACAACAACAACAACAACAACAACAAGAAGCACCAATCACCATGAACGGGAGAAATCCAAAGGAAGTAGTCTCTCTCACTCTCTCTCACCTACCTGACTGGCTGGACAGCATTGTTCCAACTACAGGCGGTGACGACACAGATGAGGATGTCAAAGCCGAAATTCGAGAGACAGCAAGACACGTCTTCCTGCATTTGTCTGAAATCGGTGTGGAGATCTACTGACTGCACTCAGCAAGAAGAACAACATCCGTATTTCTAACACCAACGTCAAGTGAGTCAATGCTTCTATGTGATGGTTCAGAAACATGGCGCATCACGAAAAGCATTCCCAACAAACTACAGACATACATCATCAACAGCTGCCACCTACACATACTCGATACTGACACTGGAGATCAGATGGCCAGAATAATAATAATAATGAGCAACAAGGAACTCTGGTTGGTTGGTTGGCTGTCTGGCTGGCTGGCTGGCTGACCGGCTGACAACGAACCAACGAAGCAATAACCTATCACCCAACAACTGTGCAGTAGAAGAAAGTGGAGATGGATTTGATTGGGCATACACTGAGAAGACGGATTGGGGACATCACGCACCATATCAGGCCATGCACTCGAGTGGAGTGGAAATGGGTGGACAATGAGTTGGTCGTTGTAGGCGAGGATGACATGGAGGAGATGATGTGAAGAAGAAAAGTGAAGCTTGTGTCCATTTGTGGATAGAGGTTTTGAAGGCTGCAGAGAAGAGAGTGGAATGTAGACGTGCTACTGAGACAGTATGTTCTATTGGGAACCCTAGGGACAAATAATAAATGATTCATAGTAAAATTAACACCTTTTTCTTAACTAATACTTAATAATAATAATAATAATAATAATAATAAAACTTATAATAATTAGGCAACTGCTAATCAATAAACCGAAGAAATAATTTGATTTATATGAATTTATGACAAATCATTTTGTTTTTTTGCTTTGTTCAGCCTATATTCGTTAAAATACCATTGCCTACCGATGAGAAATTTATTAAGCATCAAAATGTTTTAAATGAACTAAATTCAACTAAAATAATTCCAACAAAAGGGTCAATTACAAAAGATAATCATCTAAGTGAAGGTCAACATAATGATCAAATTATTGCGAAGTATGAAGATTTTAGTGATTCTAGTATCAGTGACTCACTACATTCTGTAACACGTTCAAGAACGTCATTTCCCCGTCCACAGTGGCCATCAATGAACTCCTTTATGTGGTCTTCTAATCAAAATATTAAAAGTAAGTTCAATTCCCTAACCATAATATAATCAAGAAGTACTGAAAAACGTCTTCAAAAAAAGCGTTATTATTATATTATTATTTGTCCGTTGGGTTCCTAGTGAAAATAGGGATTGAGTTACACGCCTACATTCCACTCTCTTCTCTGCAGCCTTCAAAACCTCTATCCACAAATGGACACAAGCTTCACTTTTCTTCTTCACATCATCTCCTCCATGTCATCCTCGCCTACAACGACCAACTCATTGTCCACCCATTTCCACTCCACTCGAGTGCATGGCCTGATATGGTGCGTGATGTCCCCAATCCGTCTTCTCAGTGTATGCCCAATCAAATCCATCTCCACTTTCTTCTACTGCACAGTTGTTGGGTGATAGGTTATTGCTTCGTTGGTTCGTTGTCAGCCGGTCAGCCAGCCAGCCAGCCAGACAGCCAACCAACCAACCAGAGTTCCTTGTTGCTCATTATTATTATTATTCTGGCCATCTGATCTCCAGTGTCAGTATCGAGTATGTGTAGGTGGCAGCTGTTGATGATGTATGTCTGTAGTTTGTTGGGAATGCTTTTCGTGATGCGCCATGTTTCTGAACCATCACATAGAAGCATTGACTCACTTGACGTTGGTGTTAGAAATACGGATGTTGTTCTTCTTGCTGAGTGCAGTCAGTAGATCTCCACACCGATTTCAGACAAATGCAGGAAGACGTGTCTTGCTGTCTCTCGAATTTCGGCTTTGACATCCTCATCTGTGTCGTCACCGCCTGTAGTTGGAACAATGCTGTCCAGCCAGCCAGGTAGGTGAGAGAGAGTGAGAGAGACTACTTCCTTTGGATTTCTCCCGTTCATGGTGATTGGTGCTTCTTCTTGTTGTTGTTGTTGTTGTTGTTGTTGTTGGTTGTGTATCTTCATCACCTCCGTCTTCTCTGCCTTCCCTTGAAGTCCCGTCTTCCTTCGCTGCCCCGTCGCTTCTGTCAACTTGCTGGCTTTTGCCTGTAGATTTTCGAGTTTGTGCGACAAGACATTGGACATAAATCATCATCATCAGCATCATCATCGTTGGCGAAATGCAAATCTTCTTGCAGGGTGTTTTCATCGGTCAGGCTAGTGTATGCCCATCTTCTCGCTCCTCACAGTTTGTTGCATGATCCAGTCCAGTTCAGTCGACCACAATTACGGAGATCATCGTTGATGATAGTAGTTGGCAGGCTTGTCTTACTTCTGTCTTTGCTTCGAAGGCGTCAGTGAGCTGAGAGTTTCATTATGAATCACTTGGCATTTAACCTCATCATATGTCATACAGCTGTTCATTTAGGCAGACAAATTTTTTGGAGGTACTTATGCAGTAATTTGGATGCAGCTCCCTGACAATTTTCTTCTCGGTCTTTTTTTCAAAATCGATGAAGTTTATGTAGTAAGCTGACTGCCGTTCTATGCTCTTTTCGGTGATATTGGGTAGCCTTTCAATTTGATGTGCTCACGAGTTGTTATTTACTGAAGATACTCATCCCATCCCCGGTTGTGATTTTGAATGCAGAGCATTAAAATTTACTCTCTTCAAGATGATTCGGCTTGTTATTTTGCTTCATGTGGACAGTAGCATGATTCCTCGCCATCACTTCAAAAACTCACATTGCGCTTCTTTGGAAGATTGACAAGGGAGTATTTTCGTTCCTGCCTTCCAAACCTTATGTAACAGTGTTATGGTCATGTCTGTCCTTGTTTCGCATCTTTTTTCGATGCTTCCGGAGAAATTACATCTTTTCCCGCTTACAGACACTTTATGGTGTTCAGAACTTTTGTTGGAGGGCTTGTGTTCACTGACAGTTATTTGGCTGGGCTCCTGGTGGTATTTCTGGAAAAGTTGCAGGTGGTGGTCGATTCAAGAGTGTTTTGAAGTGATCACCCCATCGTTTCCTTAGTTTCTTCCCTTTAGTAACTAGGTTTCCCTCACTATCTTTCATTTGTTTCATCTGTGTTGATCTTTTCCCTCCCAGATAATAACCTTCCTGCAGCCTGTTCTGCTTCACTTGCAAGTGTGTCATGGAAGTGTCTTTTATTTTCCTGCTCACTCCCTTTCACTTCTTTGTCCAGTGTTTTTTATGTTGTAATCAGTTCATCATTGCACTTCACTACACTGGTTCATATTCCGCTTCACCATCTTCCTCTCCTTTCCTCTCTTCTCCTCGGTCAGCTTCCATGCGTCAGTAGATATCCACTCCTCGTCTTGCCTCTTCTTCCTTCCTAACACGGTTATCCAGGTCTCCTTCCATGTCTCTTCCACACAGTTCCAATGTTCTTCAACACAGGTCTCCTCGGCAATGTTCCTAATTGTCCCCCACTTTTTCTTCATGCCCGACGACGTGAAGATCTCCATTGTAGCTTTATCCTTCAGTTTCTGTTCTGGGTGCTGAACTTGAAATATGGCCTATCAACAAATTCTGTGAAGGCTTTCAATATGGTTTTGAAGGTTGCTTGCACTAGCTAGTGATTTGGGTGGTGTGAACCTACATCTGCCCCCCTTCTTCATCTCATCTTGTATCCAGTAGGCTGCATCTCCACTTTCTTCACATTGAAATCAAGTCGATCTGATTTCTAGTGTAATGTGTCCTGGTGTCTGGTGAAATCAAGTCCATGTCGCTCACTTTGTGAATATCCTTGTATTTGTACACACTCCCTCCAATCACCAAACCGTTGAATGCGGGAAAATTGGCAAACAGATCTCCAGTCTCGTTCATCACTTCACCGAGTACTTCTTGACCCATGATCACTTCTCTCCCTGTGTTGTCCGCTCTCGGTTTGGCATTCATATCACCCACCCATTAGAATGAATTCTGATGTCGCCAACTGGGGTGTTGTATTCTCCATTACTGATTGCAGTTGTCTGTGGAATTCCTCATTCTTCTCTTGACCTACATTATTTGTAAGTGTGTAACGTAGCAATGTATGATTGTAACTTCGCTTCCTTTTGATTTGAATCTTGTTGTCATGATCCTGATTCTGGAGGAGATTGCTTCACATATCATGAAAGCCTTCGATGCTGTTTAAGACATGACGACCACTCGAAAACTCAGTGTGGTCGTGGTTGTCGACTGGGTAACAATATTGGAGTAGATTATTGACTATCCAGTTGAAAGTTTGGGGGGTCGACTTCCATTCCATCTGCTTTCGCAGATTCCTAGCCTAGCACTTCTGCACCATATCTTCTCATTTCTTTCGCAATCTGAGCAACCTTGTCAGCCAGCTTCAAACATCGTACGGACCTTCCATGTCTCTATCCCTACTTTTGCCTTCATCAAAGGAGAGAAGACACATTAGCCAATTGGCTTCCGAAGGTTTTCACCAACCGGTATCATTTCGTCTCCCTGATTCTAGCGAAGAATATGTCGATTTTTCATATGTTCTTTGTGCTTTGAAGTTTGTTTAGCGATTGGATTGTTTTTGCGGTATAGAGTTACTAGTCTTAGCCCCAACCCTCCCTCTTTATCCGAGCTTAGGACCGGCTAGTAACTAGTGAACTAGTAAACTAGGGTAGGTTTTTCAGTTTTCTACCATATGTTTGTTCATTCAGTAACTTGGTAATTCACTATACCCCCATCGGTAAACAGTCCTTTCATTATTAATTAAATAATTAGAATTTCTGCTGAAATGATTAATTAACGATTAATAGCAAAAAACGTTTACCTGAAAGGAATCCTGTGTTGTCAGTTGACACCAATTGACACCTGGTAGAATGACTTCTGAAAATGAGAAAGAGACTTCATTATGCAATAAATTTAACACTACAAAATATGAGATTTTATAAAGTATTGAAATTTTAACAATAACATTTCAGTATATTGCTGTACTGATTCCACTGGTACAGAGGAACTGAAATAACCAGAGTGTACATTGGAATGATTCAGTTTTTTCTCTACACCTGACTGCTTGACAATGTCTCGTCATTCTGATTTCAAGAACAATGAAAATCCAATGGTTCTAGCAAGGAAGACTGTCATTTCTAAAGTGGTATCACTTAATTACTTAATGAAATCTGGTGGAGGATCTTTAAAAACCTTGGAACACTGGGCTGCTTTTCCTTTATAGTGTGGGACTCCTTATCAATGTGAAGCCAGAAAAAGCTGTTTTCGTGGAGAACTCATGACCACTGAACCATTGGATTGTAGTATTTTGATTTTCAATAAAGCCTGATCTTCAACTAATGTCACTGTTGAGCATTCGTTTTCATGCTTCACGTGGTTTTCCTCAGTGGTCATGACTTCTCATTGCAGTTTTGAGAAACCTTATAAACTAATGTCAATTCCTGATAAATACCACCTTAAAATCAATAAATCCCCATAGAGCAAGAAAAGTTTGCCTTGTCATGAGTATTTTTAATCATCAGATGTTTGTTGTTATTTGTGAAGGTAGTTTCTTTGAAAATGATTCGTGTCAAGCAGATTCTTAGTAGAAGAACCTTCATTGCACTTATGAATTCAATGAACTTTGAAGATATTCATGAAGAGGTTAAGTATTCATAGCAATTAATTATCCGTATCTTTGAGTTTAACAAGCTGCTGTGGTAGTATTCATCTTCATGACTGGAAATGGAATCAAGAACGTGGGTTTCGTCCTATCGGGGACTCGTCAGTTGAATGTACTTGCACCTCAGTGAATGTTGTTCTCACTGACACTTGAATCCAGTACGTATCGTCCTAAGCGCCGAAGAGTTATCCACTAAGCCACCGGGACACATGAGCCACCACTTGGGCAACAGGTATCAGTTGCTGTTTACCGATACTTGTAATTTCTTATTGTTATACTGGGTTAAAATGTCCGTTCTATGCTGGTAGATGGACTCCTATGCGGTTGCCTCAATGCTACAGGATAACAGTTATGCCATACTCATCTCCATGACTAGAAGTAGAAACCAGGACATGTGTTTCGTTCTGTTTGGGATTTATCGGTTGGATGTACCTTTACTCCTGTGGGTTATGTTGTTCGTACTGAGACTTGAATTCTAGGGTAGAGCAACAAAAACTGTTATAGTTTTACAGAAGTTGTTGCTATTTTAAACTGCTTATCGAATTGTACCAAGTGGGGTAGAATTTTGATCAGTTGTCAAAATCTGATTGAAATCAGAATTTCTTTAATTAGACGTTTATGGTAGTCTTTTGTCACTTACAATTTTCTTATTTTCCCTTTAATCAAATAGCTTACATACAGTCGGCTTATAATTTAAATAAAACTACAGGTAGTACAGATGAATTAAATCCTTATCAAAGTACACCAAATAGACAACTTTCACAAAGTATTAAACATTTTCCGCGTTTAACAACACTTGGAATTTCTGGTGAACGACCTAAATCAGCCCGGTGAGAGATGCTTACAAAAGATTTACAAATGAATTTAAAGCCTATCCTGTTCATCAACCGAGTATAATTGCAAACGGAAATACATATATGTGTTGAATATTGTTTGAAAAAAGAAAGTAATGTGCAGTTTATGATCTTACTTTTTTTCTACTGATTTTATTGTATTTATGTTTTTCTTTGCATACTTCATACTGATAAATATGCCTTTGCATTCAAAATCTAACTTCTTCATACCGATTCATAAACAGGGTGGTTAATTGCCAAAACGTTCATAGCAATCATTATCATCATTACTACTGTTATACTTATTTATGTTGATGAAATGATGTTTCATCAGAGTGAATCTTTACAAACATTTTCATTTTATATGCAATTCTGTATTTATACATAAGCTTACACTTTTTAGTGTTTCTTGAGGAGATTAAGAGCAGTGGACATTATCAGTATGTTACGTTTCACTTTTATAGAATTCAGAATAAATAAATTTGTCGTCTCTCACTTGCAGAAAGTTATTAATCTTTTTGACTTAGCTAGTAACTGTTATTCATCATACTCGAATACGTTAACTTATGTTGGCAAGATAGGTGAGACATTTTATAGTGTTATGGCTTGCATTGGATGGAATTAACCGGTCTCTATTGGCACGCGGACTCCTATGCAGATGCCTCGATATTTCTTGTGCTTTAATCATACATACCGATGATGGATAGTGGCTAGCAGTGGAGTCCAGTATACGCGTTTCGTCCTCTTCCAGACTCGTCAGCTGGATATGCCTACTTCAAAGTGGGAGTTGTTCCCACCGGGACTCGAACTCAGGGCCGACCACTGCAAACGCCAGACCGTAATCCACTAGACCACCGAGCCACGATAGTCACTTCTTGTGCGACAGGTATAGTTTTAATGTCATTGCTCAACAGTCTAGTAGATAACGCTCTGGTGTTTAAAGCAATCGATCCCGAGTTCAAGTCCTGATGAAAATAACATCACTCGCTGGAAGACAGGTACATCCAGCCGACGAATAGGACCAAACACGTATCGTAGATTCTACTGCTAGCCACTATCCGTCATTGAGACATTTTACGGCTCATAACATATAAAACATTTTTAGGTCTAAATTACGTTGCTTCAGTATCATTTATATCTTGTCAACCATTTCAAACACAACTAATTAGCACTCATATACACACGACACAAAGTCTTGTATTTGTCTCCATATTTATTTCGACTGTGTTCTGCTGATGTGATCTTTGACTTTCTTGTTGTTCCTTATTGATTGATAGATACGGTCAATGTCAATATATCTTCTGATTTCTAACTGATCTAAATTCTCTGCCATTCTTTGTATTTCCTTTATCCAAGACTGTCACATTTTCTCTGTCAAATTCATGCCCACAGTTAACAGTATGTATTGATGTGAGCAAAGATATGTCATGACGCTTCACTGCCAATTGATACTCATGTAGACGGATACAAAGAGGGCGACCACTGTGTCCGAGGAAGTATTTTTCACAGTTTCTGAAGTTTATTTTTCAGATAATGTTTGGTTTGTCTCCTGTTTGCTATTGCATAATTTCGTCTGCATATCAGAGAGATTGAAGAGACTTTATAGGCATATGAGATACAGCGATTCTAAAAGGTTTCTTTTTTAGAATACAATAATCATTATATCAGCCGATAAGTCAGTGATTACATAGTGTATTTTTCATCGTTGCCCAAAGGGTTTTGAGGAAGACTTATTTATACCAACATTTGTAATAATGAATCTTCAACCCATCTTGTTGATCTAGTATTCAGCTAGCGAAATATTCATTCTTTATTGCTGAAAGTGAACAAGAGCTCTGAAACATTTACAAAAGTATGAGTGACCAGATACACGTGCTGGTTCGTTTACACATTCAGTGTATATTAACCACTTGAGAAAATTAAATAATCAGAACAGAAAATACAACTGATAGTCCCTGGTCAGTTGTCATCGAAAAAATGTCATAACGATCTAAAAGCAGAAAGTGTATTTACATGAAACATTAAGCATTGAATACTGGAAAGAACAAGTGTGTGCTTACAGTGTTAAATGAAATTATTAAATCAATTCTATCGTTATTATAAGAGGTTATATACTGATGATGTTCATACGAATTGATCATGTCCACCTTCAAAGTATGTTGTCGATGGAAAGACTTATCATAGAGAAAATGGATAGAGTTGATAACATCTTCCTTCGCACTACATGTGTTTACGATGGACTGAAGAAATATGGTATAGAAGATTATGCTTATTCAGCAAGTGAATGGGTGAATCGAATAGAATGGAAATCAACTCAATAATCTTGTGTACATCTGTACAGTAGGCAGTGAGCCACGCCTATTATGTGAGGCCTAAGGAAACTTACTGAAACTAGCTGCCTAAACCTAGGTGGGGCAGTGTTTGAATCTAGAAGTAAACTCTCTTAATCAATGACCAACAACTCCACAGCCATTGGGCTACGAAAAAGTTTTAATATTATACATATGTATGTGCCAAGTTTCGTACAACATTAAACAAATTGCACCATCAGAAGAGATGAAAAAGAGAGCCAAAGGAATTTCAAATTTACAGGGTTGCTAATTATTAATCATGTGTAGGCAATTTTGTTTTCGACAATAGTTGTGATACGCCCTCAAATCTCCAACTGAACCTTGACTTTCATTTGACCGTAAATCCTTCCATCATTTTAAATATCTTCCATTACATCTAACCTATGAAAAACGGAAAATAGCATAGTCAATTTTAACTTTATTAATAAAAATGATTTGTTTAGTGTTTTGCTTCCTCAGTCTTTTAGGAAGTTACTGCCACGAACATAACCACTTCTCATTCAATATTCATATGTAATACAGTAATTAGTCATACATATGAACGAAGAACATGCCTTTGAAGCGAAGACAGGAGTAAAACAAGCTTGCCAACTACTATCATCAACGATGATCTCCGTAATTGTGGTTGACTGAACTGGACTGGATCATGCAACAAACTGTGAGGAGCGAGAAGATGGGCATACACTAGCCTGACCGATGAAAACACCCTGCAAGAAGATTTGCATTTCGCCAACGATGATGATGCTGATGGTGATGATGATTTATGTCCAATGTCTTGTCGCACAAACTCGAAAATCTACAGGCAAAAGCCAGCAAGTTGACAGAAGCGACGGGGCAGCGAAGGAAGACGGGACTTCAAGGGAAGGCAGAGAAGACGGAGGTGATGAAGATACACAACCAACAACAACAACAACAACAAGAAACACCAATCACAAGTAGTCCCTCTCTCTTTCTCTCTCTCACCTACCTGGCTGGCTGGACAGCATTGTTCCAACTACAGGCGGTGACGACACAGATGAGGATGTCAAAGTCGAAATTCGAGAGACAGCAAGACACGTCTTCCTGCATTTGTCTGAAATCAGTGTGGAGATCTACTGACTGCACTCAGCAAGAAGAACAACATCCGTATTTCTAACACCAACGTCAAGTGAGTCAATGCTTCTATGTGATGGTTCAGAAACATGGCGCATCACGAAAAGCATTTCCAACAAACTACAGACATACATCATCAACAGCTGCCACCTACACATACTCGATACTGACACTGGAGATCAGATGGCCAGAATAATAATAATAATGAGCAACAAGGAACTCTGGTTGGTTGGTTGGCTGTCTGGCTGGCTGGCTGGCTGGCTGACTGGCTGGCTGACCGGCTGACAACGAACCAACGAAGCAATAACCTATCACCCAACAACTGTGCAGTAGAAGAAAGTGGAGATGGATTTGATTGGGCATACACTGAGAAGACGGATTGGGGACATCACGCACCATATCAGGCCATGCACTCGAGTGGAGTGGAAATGGGTGGACAAGGAGTTGGTCGTTGTAGGCGAGGATGACATGGAGGAGATGATGTGAAGAAGAAAAGTGAGGCTTGTGTCCATTTGTGGATAGAGGTTTTGAAGGCTGCAGAGAATAGGGTGTAATGTAAACGTTCAACTCAATCCCTATCTTCCTCTAGGAATTCTAGGCATAAATAATGATTTACTGATAGTAATTCGCCAAGAACATCACTGATTTTCAATTATCTGTGCTTTCCTTCCTTTGGGTTTTTTCATGTTTGCTTCTGTGTTAGTTATTTACACTAATTTCTCTCTTGTATGGTGCGCTAAATGTTTGTTATTTGTATAACATTTAAACGAGTGTTAACACTTCTGTGCATCCAAGTCAGATTTTTTTCCCACTTATAACTTCATAGAAATAGTCATATATCTGTTCTTATTCATTTGACTTCAGAATAACTGATCCAATTTCGACTGTCACTTACTGTAAGATTACTTATGTCATTGATATATATTTTTTATATTGAACGTTGACGAAAATGTTTAATTTCAGTGTAAACAATTTATAATCAATCATGCATCACGTTCATTCGCAATAATTGGCGATAGGAAACTAGGAACATATGAATTTCAAGTCACTATAATAAGTAGACTCGTTAGGTGAGAGTAGCTAAATATATAATAGTTGACTATAAAATTAGTCGATGCTCCTCTTATGCGAACATTCTTCAAATCTTAAACAAATACCGGCCGTATGTTCCGTATATATATGTATATATATATATATATATATATAAGCCAGTTTAAAATTGAATTCTTTGAGTAGAATCGGATTAGCGTCCTAAATAATATGACAATTGCTTTATTTGACTTCAAAAAATTGAACATTTCATTCTTTCAACGTTGATATTATTCAGATACTCTTGCAAAGGATCTTTCTTTCAAGATAGAAAGGTTGTGGAATACCATGCCAGGTCTACACCGTACAGGATGAATTCATAGTACTCTTTGTACATATTATTTAACATTCATTTTTTACTCATCACAAAGTACTTCATGTTATAACTACTACAAAGTTATAATACTACTGACTGGTTAAAAGTTTCAATGAGAAGAATAAACAGTTTTGTGTTATTCAAGTAGACGTATGTTATCTTCCTTAGGCAAGTTTTGAAAACATTCTGAAGTCATGCTTAACTGCTTCAAGCATAAACCATCCGATACACCTAGAAGTCCCAAAAATATACTACAAACTCGATCAAAAGAACTTCATCGTCAACTATTTATTAAATATAAACCTGGTGAGCTTAGAAACTCTATTTAGCTGCCTACTTGAATCTTGGACTGTTAACATTTTGCACTGGACATAAACGTCAAATTCTTTGCTTTCAATCTGTTTTTAATCATTTAACTCTGTTTTCTAAACATGCTATATACTCTTGCATAGTTATAAAATGTTTTCAACTAGCCGTTTCTTGACTAGATAACAAAAAGAAGAAAAACTGTTAAGTTAAATAGAAATAAACTTTTCAGTGTTCAAACATTCATCATTTTTGTACTCCTCAGATGCTTAGGTCAAGTGGTAGATCCTTGTAATGAATGCATGAACCATCACCAACAAACTTACATTCGATTTTCTGTACATCCTCCATTCTAGATAAGAAGTTAATCCAACATCAGTTAACTGTTTTACATTTAATTCCATTAATTATGCTATTGTTAACAACCCTCGGCTGGAGTATTCATTTCTGTCAAAAATATTATTCTGAAGAACTACTATGATAGTGAACTTGTTAAAGTCTTACATTCTGAGAATTTCATTCTGTATGTAACATACTGTTTAGAATACAGAATATGTTATTGTTATTATATTCATCAAGAAGAG